GGGGGGGGCAATCACTTTTTCACACAGGGCCATGTAGGTTTGGATTTTTTTCCCCCCTTAATAATAAAAACCTTCTAAAAACTGCATTTTGTGTTTACATGTGTTATCTTTGTCTAATATTTAAATTTGTTTGATGATCTGAAACATTTAAGTGTGACAAACATGCAAAAAATTAAGAAATCAGGAAGGGGGCAAACACTTTTTCACACTTAAAGTGAAGTGCTGTTTATAAACTCTTTATTGATATTAATTAATCTCACCTAACCCGGCATGGATAGTCTCTCCACTGTTCAATACCCAATTTTGGTTAAGTCAAAATAAACCCATAATTCCACGTTAGATGTGAAAAAGAGTTGACTTCTACAGCCCTCTGCAAGAATGCAGGACAAAAATCCTGAATTATTTAATTTATTTGATCTAATTGTTTTATATCTAAAGCTTGGGAAACTGGGCAAACTAGCTGAAGAGGTTTGTTGTTGGACATCTAAGTATCAAGTGCATTGTAGTCTCGACGGCAGTGCCATGCATCTTCGTAAATCGATGATCCCAAAAACAAAGAAAGTCATCTCTGTTTGAAGTTAATAGGCACGAGGCCTCCTGTGGCTTTAATCTTAGGGGAACAACTTTGCAGTTTACAGTTCAGATAGCTTATTCAAAAAGTGACGTGACGATAGATACAAGCCGACGAGTGCGATGCAGGACGTGAGGCCCCGCCCCCGGGGGGAATACCACATTTTAGGGAGGCCCCTTGAGTGGGTGAGGGTGGCACAAGGGATAACATCAAAAAAGGTCTTAGGTTTGAGTTTTCTCCAGGTGATCTGGTTTCTTCCCAAAGTATAAACACTTGGGTGACAAGAATTGTGTTAAACAACGTAAATTACCCTAATTTAGAGACCCCACTACTTATGGCCAGTACTTATAAAATCATAATAAAAACTACAATTAAATGTTGTAAAATGCCGTTTAAAATATGTCATTGTCACTGTCGGAAACACGCCCCAAAGTATCTTGGCAGTAATGTTAAATGAATTAGTCTGACTGTTCATTGGGACAGGCTATAGCTATGGTGGTGTGTAATGGTAACACAGATGTTTTGAAGTGGGGTTGTAATAGCTACTTATAGATGAAGGTCGGAGCACCCCCAGTTTGATGTTTGAAAAAAAATGTTGAATGTCTTCCATGTAGCTCAAAAGTTGCCACAAAGTTTACACAAAAGTTTACACAAAAGCATCAATATTGCTCGTTCTTGTATTGCGTTCGGCACAAATATAAATAAAAATAAAATTGCATTCAATTTATTTAAAAAAAAACAATGAAATCAACAAATCTTACAAAACAAATTCCAGCGTAGAAAATATTAGGGCCAAATTCCTCAGTGAAGCATCCTTAATTCTCCATGAAGCTTGTAAATTCTACGTGATCTCTCGTTCCTCTACATTCATGTCATGGCTGGTTTGTATCTACTCTACGTTTGTGAAACCAACATTGTCTGGTAGCTTTCAGGAGGTTATTGTGTCTAAGAGGAATAAACCGTTTAAGCAGTTATTCACAACCGTCAGGGGAAATCTGGAGACAAGGGTTCCCGGGATGATTCACAGGTGTGGACGAGGAATAAATGCTGACAGGGACTACTTCATCAATGTAAGACTTTGTCTTTTGTTCATCGTATTTAGGCAAGGCAAGACTCATTTAGGAGGCTGATTAAACAAGAAAACCATTCTGTAACACTTTGCATCTCTATTTCGATACCCTAAATGGGTAATATTGAATTCTGCATGTTCTTCCCATTGTTTAATCCAAACAAGGAAACGGTGCCAGAGTAAACCCAGCACTAAATGCCTTTTTTATGGAGCTGGAGTCAATCTAGTTAAAACATCCTTGAGCACAAAAGTATCTTTCATCCTCAATGAAACAAAAAAATACGAGCATTACTTGAGTTTCAATTGTGCAGTACAAACTGGGGGGGAAATGCCATTTGCAGGATGTGAAAGACACCGGAGGGCCAGTCCAGGCCGAATGGTTTAATCCACACGAGTCATCATGGTTCCCCCTCAGAAGCCGCTCACTGAATGTTGGGATTGAGCTGTGGGGATGAGGCACACCAGAGCGGTGTCTACGTGAGGGAGGGAGGTTTTTGCCTGTTTGTGGAGAGAGGTGTGTGTGGTTGCATGCCTCAGACAGATTGGAAGCGGTGTCTAAAGTCCACACACTTCTGCAGGCCGTGTGTGTGTGTGAGAGGATACAAGGACGCCTCTGGAGGGTTTACCTTAATGACATTGCAGCCTCAGTTCAAAAGTCTGTGTTTCCGCTCTCAAACAAAAACGGACTGCTGCTTCTGCTGAGGAATTCAGCCCTGAAATATATCTGAGGAACACAACACTTGGAACGGCATCCTTTTCTTTCACACTTTGTCCACAACACTCTTCCTGTATGATGACAGCACTGAGTAGAGAATATTTAGATAAACTAAAAGCCTTTCGCGTTCTATTTTGTGTCTCTTTGCTCACCAGAGACGCACGCCTGCTACTGCAAGACGGATGTAACCAGTTAACGCTAACTGAACCAGTAGCAGTGGGAAGCCGAACTTTGCCCCCAGACGGTTTAGTCGGACAGAGACGGCGAGCGCAGGGACCTGCCGCTGGCCGGGCTGTTGCTGTAGGCGTGGGAGTTGTCCCTCTCTCTGTCCTTCTCCTTGTCCTTGCTCTCGTGTTTGTGCTTGTGCTTGTGTTTGTGCTTGTGCTTCTTCTTCTTCTTCTTGTGCTCGTGGTGGTGGTGGTGATGGTGGTGGCCGTGCTCGGCAGCGTGTTTGGAGGACGAGGACGTGGTCTCCTTGGGGAAGGACGGCACCGGCGTGGCGGGCATGGACAGCATGGACTGTTCGACTGACGGAGGTTCTTTACCTGGGAAGAGAAAGAGGGCAGGTGTGTGTGTGTGTGTTACCAGGTTATTGGGGGGTTTATTTATTTTTTGGAATGATCAGTGTGTGTGTGTGTGTCTGCTCACCTGGTGTGGAGGGCCTCTCTAACAAATTGAGATGATGGTGAATGAAGGCCTGACTGTCATGAACCGTCTCCATATCAATGTCTTCATCTTCCATTGTGTTGAACTACAACAAACCACAACTACACGTTAATTACCAGATAACGTGTTAACATCAAAAACAGATCATCATGACTCTTATACGTCTTTGTAGACGTTGCTATAAGAGAACATGTCAGATTTCAGTCAAACATTTAGTTCATTGTAGTTCATGAGTTAGCCTCAATAAAACAAAAAAACAGAAAGTCCGTTACCCTGATCTTGAAGCGCCCTCCTCGTGCTTCATCCTCCTGTTGCTGCAGTACCTGTCCAGGCTCTGGAGGGGAGCCCAGCGGGGTCTCAGCCTTCCTCTTCAGGCCCTGAGAGGGCTGGCCCACCCCACACACCCCCAATGAGACAGGATCTGGCTCTTCATCCACCTGGCAGACACAAACACAGACTTTAATAGGTAGTGAAATGGCTTACTCATTTGTCTTTATAAAAGTGTCCAAAATCCATTTTTGTTTCATTTTGTCGACCGCTGAAACCGACTATGGAAAAGCACCTCATTAAAGCCCACTCCCTTTAACCTGCTTCCATGTGAGACTTCTGCTGATAATGCTGATTCAATCAGCAGTCAGAGAGATGATAAGTGAGCCCAACGGTGATGCAATGGGAATGAGGTGCAGCCAAATACAGTTGGCAGCTCTACAGTAGCCATAATTACACAGATCCAACCTAAGATAACACCGATTTGATGAAGTAGTTACTATCCATGTGCCATCTGAAGATTTGTTATGTTGCATTAATAAATCACAGACATTCAAAACAGACCACCGTGCAGCTCGCTGATTATATCGCCATCAGCATAGAAACCAACGGAACTCAAGCTGCTGAATACGACCCGCCAAGAAATAACCTTTAATCTAGTTGTCAGTAGTTCACACTGTACAGTGCATTTCCTATTAACACTACACTAACTGTTCCGACGAATGACCCCCAACACCACTTACAGCCGAGTAGCTCATGCCCACGCCATGGATGCCTATACTGGCGGGCGTGTCCATGACAGCGCCGACCACCAGCTCGGGCTTGATGGTGGGGTTCAGGACAGCTTTCTTCTCCTTCAGGTTGAGCACAAGGCCCAGCTCTGGCAGGGGGAGGCAGGAGGGTCGAGTCAAACCAAACAAGGTGTAGTAGAGGTTCACGGCGTCACAGCGCAGCCGCCAGTCGTGGGAGGTGCCTGAGAAAAAAGGGTTCAAGTGAGGACAGTGGAATGGAGAACAAAAGGCAAGGTTGGTTCGATCAAATGAGGTAGAACTCACGAGGGCTAAAGGCTGATTGTGTCACTTTGTAACTGACCAGTTAACTAAGATAGCGATGGAGAGAAGACGATCTAAAGCTTTGTTTACACTCGCGCGTGGCATCTTAGCCTTTACAGCTAAGCGCATGCTGCTGGTTCTGTTATTCTCCGAAACGCCACAGGTACTGAGAAGAAGCAAGATGACTAAGATTGCAAACGGCATAAACCAACCTCCACAATGCTAAGGAGGGATTGCAATTATGTGTAAACTCATACCTCAAAGTCAAGTATTAAATGCATTACCACGAATTGTAGATTGAATATCCCGTAAACAATTACATTTGGCTGCACAACACATACTCAAATGTAGATTTTTAAGACCTTTAGAAATCATTTAAAATCATGTCGATAAAGCTTTTATCAGTGAACTATTCGTTACAGTCACGTCTGAGAAGCTCTGATTGCCCACGCACAAAGATTTGAATGCAGAGGTGCACAACCAAGCGCTGCGACCACACGCCGTGATTAAGTTATTTGTAATCTGGCGCTGTCGACATTTTTGCCTTCAGACACAGTCGTGGTGCAAACGACTTACTTTATAGTAAACCCCAGCCATTCATGCTGAGCTCAACGTTCTTCAACCACACAATTCATTTTGTCATTCCAACCGAGACAATGTGAACTAAATACGAGATAATTGGCTCTCAATGACATGAGGGCTAATTATCGCTATGACCATGATTATATGAGCCATTGGAGTAGCACTGTGTGTGTAGAGAGTTCAGAATGAATTAAACAACAAATATTGCTGAAGCTGACAATCCAAAGGCCATGCAGGCGCCGAACATGGTGGAGGGGGGACTGTGGCTTTGGAAGGAGGTTGAAATAAATGACTTGAACAGCAGCAGAACGCACGCCGAGTTTGTGTTCTTACAGCACCGACCTTCAGCCAGTGAAACATCATCCTGTGTGTGTGTTTAACACGTGGGGGGCTGTGGGTTATAGTTGGGGAGGGGGGGGGGGAGGGGGGGGAATAAAACAACCAACACATTTTCACAACATAGTATTATAGTTGACCACAATCTGGTCACTGTATTTAAACTGGCAGCACAGTCGGGCTGTCCAGCAGCCACCCACACCGACTGACCGGCAAACAAACGTTCACTGGAAATAATGATCATGAATATCTTTGGTCGTCCTTCAAGCTTGTAAGTCAATAAATTGGATAGCAAGAGCCCAGTGTCCTTCAGGAATATGGAATTGTGAACGTATACTTGTATTTGAGGTTTTTGAGATGGTGTGTATTTGGATTGGCACGCTGAGCCGTTATGGCCCGGCTGGCTGGCTGAGAGACACATAGGACCCCCCCC